AGCTTACGACTCAGGATGAATATGGCAGCGCCACAGGAGTTATGCTACTCCCGCGTCTCTTTATTGCAATCCGCATGTTTGTGGGAATGCGGCCGCCAAGGCAAGCTATTGGTAGCAGTGCAGTTTRTGCAGCCAGTGTAGCGCTAGCTGTATGCATTGGCCCAGGAGCAGCCACATCACCGGTGGCGGGATGAGTTCTCATTCCAGGCAGCAGCCTGCGCATTGGTTGGTTTGATGGCTGTTCTGGCTGGTTGGCGCAGCAATTTGGAGTACGCATTCTAATTCTCCCTCTTCTTCTTCTTCTTTGAGGTGCTATTGATGGCGGTACCGTTGTTGCAGTCGCATTCGCATTCGCCGCGATCGTTGTCATCGTCACTTCTGGCGGACACAAGAAGTGGAAGGAGCATGGCCCCATCATATGGGGACGAAGTGGCCGCCTCGAGCATCTTCCAGCAGTGCAGGGCAACATCTGTAAAGAAAGAGCATACGCAGCTAGCATAATATGTGCAGGCACTGTCACCAGGCCTGCAATTAGTGTCCAATGGACGAGCCGGAATGTCGACTGCATGCCACAGCCTTGGTGTCGCATACGTCTCGCCAATGCATGCGCACGTAAGTACGAGGGGTGAACCTCTCTTAGTTGCTGCTCTGTCCTCTTTTCATCAGCATCCAGGGCATGTTCTAATCTGGTTCTAATTTCTTTCAGCCCCTCATCAAGCAGCGCCTCTTGTTCAGCTGTATCACTCAGCTGGTCCGTAGCCAGTATGGAAGCAGTCGATGATGGTAGGACTGCTGCAGGCATAGCATCCATTGCTGTAGGAGTAGATATTGACGCCGCAATTGTCGTGGTGGCCATCATGGYTTGTGACGCCTCCGTTGTCTGACTTGGGGTTGAGGCCGCTAGTGCATCCATCATCACTGAAGTTGTTGCTGCAGAGGTATGTTGCAGTATAGCCGCTTCCAGCGTTGGAGTTGTATCTGGTGCTGCCGCAGCCGCTGGAGTTGGTGTCGCCGCGTTTTGAGCCTCTTCAGTTGTTGTCATCGCTGGAGTTGGATTTGGATTTGCTAGCGCTGTCGTCGTTGTTGGATTTGATGCCAACGATACCAGGACTGCCGCTGTGGCTATCAGCATTGGAGCTGGAGCTATTGTTGCTGACGCCAGGGGGTCGTCATCTTGATCTTCATCATAGTCAGGTACGATGATTTTCTTAATGGCTAGCGGCTGACGTTGAACACGTGCTACTGCCGCCTCTCTGGTGATACGCCCGTCTCTATAGTCTCTCCTGTATCTGTTTATTAGAGTTTCGCAAAGTCTGCTCGGTGGAGGGCCAGTTCGTAGCTCATGAAGTCGCTTCGCCCTGTTGCTTGCCTGTCTGTCCGCCTCTTGTCGTTGCAGCTCTTCCGCTTCAAGACGAATCAGTGTAGGTAGGGGAATCGTTGGTCTTCTGCTGTTGCTGGTAGTTTGCGTAGCCTGAGTGCCTAGTGCCTGGAGTGGGAGTATATGGCTTTGCAGCTGTCTCATATATCTCGGCCTGAGGAGCCGCTGCGGCTCATATGGATTCTCTATAAGGCCTCTTGCTTCAGGGTTGCAGTGGACAGCCAAGGAGTTGGCAAGACGACTACTTGCCTGTTCAAAAACCTCTGCAACTGTTTTGAATCCATACTTCAGATTTATAGCGGCGTTGCGTGTGAGCCAGGGCACGCGCAGCGCTCTTCTTATTATTCTATTTTGCATGCCCTGAATGCGTGTGATCTGCGACTCAGTTGTGAGGGCACCCCAAATAGGCAGGGCATATTGCCACAGCGGCATAATGAGTTGCTTGATTAGCACAGCTTTGCAGCTCTTGGCCAGTAAGCTGTCTCGGCCAATCATCCAGTCTAGTTTTGCTGCTCTCGTTCTGATTTTTGCCCTTAGTCTTGCCACATGTTGTTTCATGTTCAGTTTCCTATCCAGAGTTATGCCCAAGTATGTGTGCGAGCATTTATATGGGACCGCTTTCCCAAAGACTTTAGGAGTTACTTGCAATTCTCTCCGATTTGCTTGCCTTAGAGAGAATAGGACATGGCCTGTCTTATTGGCATTAAGATTAATGGCCCATTTTTTAGTCCATTTCTCAAAATGTTGCAAGTACCTCTCATTGGCTCTAACAGCCATAACCGGCAGATCAGCTGCGCTCATGATGACCGTGTCGTCGGCAAAAGTGGACAGCAGCATTTCCTCTTGTGGCAGTCCAATCCGATTCGTATGCTCTTGGGAAGGCAGTGGCATATCCGAGGAGAAGATAGTGTACAAAATGGGGCCCATAACGCTGCCCTGTGGCACGCCCGCAGACACACGGCCCACCCTAGAAGTAACGCCGTTGCAGCTGACGACGAATGTCCTGTTCTCTAAGTAGCTCTCCAGTATATTAAATAGTCTTATTGGCAGTAACTTGGCCAACTTTAGTAGTAGGCCCTCATGCCATACCCTGTCGAAAGCCTCTGCAATGTCAATGAAGACGGCGGAGCAATACTGTTTGCGCTCGTAGGCACGCAGTATAAACTGAGTCACCCGGGCCAGCTGCTGTTCAGTGCCATGTTTCCGCCTGAAACCAAACTGATGTGATGGCATCGCTTTAGCAAAATCTTCGACTTCGAAGAGTCTGGTGAGCAGCAGCTTTTCGAATATTTTGGCGAATCCAGAGGTTAGGCTGATCGGGCGGTATGATTTAACGTCAGAGGACATCTTGCCTTGCTTTTGGATCATAGTAACTATTGCATGTTTCCACTTGCTGGGGAAGTAGTCAAGTCGTAGCATTGAGTTGTATATTAATAGGAGGTACAACAGTGCTTTCTGCGATAATTGTTTAATCAATTTATTATCAATTTTATCATCCCCAGGTGCTTTGGTTGACTCGAGAGTAGCGATGACAGCCCTCAGTTCGACCATTGTTATTGGCCTGGTTGGGCGCGTGTGATGTTGTTGCTGCTTTTTCACCTGCTTAATCAGCCTCAGATCGTTGCGTACTGCTGTTTGGACGTCGGGCGTATTGACAAATACAGGTGAGAATCTTTCTTCAAGATGTGTGGTGAAAGCTTCAGCCTTCTCACCGGTTGTTTTGGTCCATTTTTGCAGGCTGCTTGGTGGCTGAGTAGCTGGTGGCAGTGCGGCTGATGGCGGGGCGCTCAGGCATAGAGGGAAGTTTGGCTGAGGTTGTCTTTTAATCATCTTCGTAAGTCGCCACAGTTTCCTCATGCTGTACTGGTCGTTGGTGTTGATGCCTTCAAACTGCTTATTGATGTTCTGATTTTTTAATTTCCAGAGGGCCTTTTTGAGACGATTTTGGGCCGCTCTGTACTGCGCTCTTGCCTCTGGAGTTCGTCTGGCAATTAGAATCCTTTTACAGCGCAGCTTCCATTCGAGGAGCAATTTTGTGGGCTCATCCAGTACCAGGGTCTGGTGACGACAACGACTGCCACGGCCATGCGGAGCGCTGCCATTAGTATTATTGCGAGTTGACAGAACGGCAGCCTCTTGGATATTGCGTAGGAACACCTCAATGGCGTCATCAACGTCAGCTCTGGATCCGATCTCAGTGTTTAGATGTATCAGCCTATCCAGTGCATCTTGGAATTGCCTTGTTCTCGATTCTGGAATCCTGAGGCGCGTGGACCTATTAGCTGGGTTCTCTGCTCGCTGTTGACTTGTAGCGAACAGGTCGACTTTCAGCGGGAGGTGGTCTGAGTCCAGGTCAGTTGTGGATTGTATGTCCATGTGCATGCCATTCATGCTGCCATAGACAGCAAAGTCAATGGCCGATGGGCGTCTGCGGCGAGCGTATGGGAAGTGTGTTGCGCCTCCGGTTGCAAGAATGTTGAAGCGCCTTCGTGACTGGACAGCTTCGAAGAGCGCTTTGCCTCTCTGACATGAGCGTGGATTGCCCCACCAAGAGTGCTTTGCATTCCAGTCGCCGCATACTATGAAGTTTGATGAAGTTTCCCCTGATAAGTTGTCAAAGTGATTGAGCAATCTTTTGTAGTGATTACTGGACCATTTGAATGTGGGCGGACAATAGACTGGCGCTACGATTATCATTTCTCTTTTGTTTGATTTTTCAGTTACCAGTGCTATTGGGGCACTTTGGATGTATTCCTCGCAGATTGGTTGTAGAGCAGTATGCTTGACGTCAGAGCGGACCAGGATTGCGACCCCGCCTCTTCTGGTTGTGTTGGGATCAGTGGCTACATACTTGATATATCCAGGTACGTCAAGTGCTGTAGAGTTTGGTGCTGTCCTGGTTTCAATCAGCATCATTAACTGTATTTTTTCTTTTTTCATAAAGAGCTCAATTTCTGGCATTTTGTTGCTCGCACCACACGCATTCCAGAATGCAATTTTGAGAGGATTGGCATTCAGGGGGCTGCCGTAGCTGTCATTGCGAGCCTGGATAGGAGTACCTCTAGTCGTCATTTGGCATGTCATTGGCTGTGTCAAGCTCCATGGAGGCTATGCTGCTTGCATTCCTTTGTCTGGATGCCTGCTGGAGTAGTTCTTGCTGTTAATGGGGTTGTGCTGGTAATGTACTGCTAGCAGCTTGGTGTTCAATAAAGCGCATCATAACATTTATTAATTGGTCTATTTTATTTTCTAGCTTATTGAACATGGTTAGGTAGTCGGGTTGTGGCGGCTGTTGCTGATTACGCTGCTGCTCTTCACGCAGTCGATTTTGGAAGCAAGCCAGGTGCTTTTCAGCAAGATTGCTCGATGGGCCTCTATTGATGACGCCGCTTGCCTCCACCTTAGGCAATTGGCTATTTATTTTTGCCTTTTTTGTTGCCTTGGCGCCTGCTGGTCGTTTGTGCTGGGGTTTGCCCAGTACTGGCTGTGGGCGTAAGGAGATATGCGAAGCCTTGAATGGATTTGCTGGTGATGCAGTATTTTGCATATCAYTGTCTGAAGGGGATACTGCTGCTTTTGTTGTTTTATTTCGCTGCTGTTGCTGATGCTGTTTCTGCTGGCTCGAGTGGACATCCAGACCGCTGCGAACGACCCGGCTGTGTGAGAGTGCGGGAGACTGGCCTGGATGTTGTGGTAAGCTGCTGGCCACATCTACTGCCTTCCGCTGCCCATCAAGTGGCATCTCGTCCGTTAACCGCTTCTGCTTCATCCGTTTTACTTCTGCGATAGCACGAACTGACGAGAGTTTACTTCTGGCCGCCTTGAGGGATGGGCAGCCTTTGTAGCTACTTATGTGCTCTCCTCCGCAGTTGGTGCACTTGGGTGTGGTGTTTCTTTGTTTTGTGCAATCTGTGGAGGCATGATCGCCCGCGCACTTCATACACTTGAATGGCCTTCTACAATAATTCTTGGTGTGGCCATACGCCTGGCACCTATGGCACTGTGGAGGATCTACTGGCTTGGCTTGCCGTTCGATTCTCACTGCCTGGTTGCTTAATTCTTTGAGGCTCAGAATATTTAAGTGGCTGCCATCTGCAGTAGGTTGTATTTCTACCTCAAAAAGGTTTAACGGCTTTCCCGTAAAACGCTGCCTGGCGCAGCGTATGTGTCTAACCACATATCCCTTCTCGCTCAATATATTCTTGATCCATTCGCAAGGAGTGGAGTGGTGGATGTTCTTCACTACGATGCGCAAACCCTTCTGGCTGGGCAATTGGTGGGTGTACAGATGTATTCCATCTTCTTCCAGTGTGGACCTAGCAGCATTATATGATTCAATGTCTTCACATTGGATGCGCAGCCCATTGCTAGGAGTGGCTTTTGTCCTAAATCTTTTGATCAATGGATTGTCCTGTAGCTTTTGCAGTATTGGCATAATATCAGGGACCAGGGGTAGAAATAGAGGGGGGATCTTTATTTGCTTTTGTTGAAGGGGGGCAGGGGCAGTCTTGGGGGCGGGGAGGGACAAGTGGACAGCGGCATTCATATTGGGTTGCCGCTGTGTTAGTTGTTGCTTATGTTGCTCATGTTGCTTCATATTCTGAGCCTGCGTCAGTTTCTCTGTGTATGTGCTGTGTTGTTTGTTTCGTTGTTGGTTTCTTGCTTTTTGATATAGTTCAGTAGCAAATTTGCTCTTGAACTTTGGAGTTATTAGTGGTATCTCAGTGAGAGACAACTCATTAAACCCTTCTTCCTGTGTATCGTCGTCGCTTTCCATTGAGATACACTTTCTTTTCAACGGAGATTGCCAGTTAGTTGCTGCTGTTGTTGTTGGTGCCTTTCTTTTATGAGGGGGGGGAGGAAGTTCATGAGGAAGCAAGGGAGGGACTCTTGTAAGCCACCCTTGTACCTTGATACTGTTGTCTTCCAGTTTTGAGACTGATGTAGCAGTAGTTGTCTGTATGTCGACCATTTGCGCAAGCATTGGCAGCAGTTGTCTTTTTGCGCATGTGTTATGCGCCGTCTTATTTTGTGCAATCTCAGTTTGCACTGCTTGCTGCTCAGCTTGGCACTGCTTCCTTATCTGGTTGTTCTGTAGAGACAGGGGGGAAGTTTCTCGCTTTTTACTGCTTTGATTCGCATTAGTGGTGTATTTGTTTATGTTTGCGTTAGTGTTCTTATTTGTGCTGGCGCTTGTGTTTGTGCTTGTATTTGTGCTCGGTTGCTTCTCATTAGGTCCGCATTTGCTAATGCAAGTGTTGGTGGTTGTGTTTGCGTTCATGTTTGTGTTTGCAGTTATGGTTGCATTTGCGTTTGAGTTTTTGTTTGCGTTTACTTTTGTGTCAGTTTTCGTCTTAGTGGTCTGAGTTTTTGTGTGAGTGTATGTTTGTGTGAGTATGTTTGTGTTTGCAGTTATGATTGCGTTTGCATTTGAGTTTTTGTTTGCGTTTACTTTTGTGTCAGTTTTCGTCTTAGTGGTTTGAGCTTTTGTGTGAGTGTATGCATGTGTGGGTGTGTTTCTTTGAGATTTTTTTTGTGGAGAGAGTTTTTTTTCATTTTCTTTGGGTTGGTGAAATAATGGGAGAGGCTTTTTATTACAGTTTTTTTCCTTTATTACATCTTTTGGCGCGTTTTTCTTTACATACAAGCTGCGAATATGCGGCATCATGTAATTTTCTTCTGGTGCCGAGTCAGATTTTAGTAATGGCGTCTCTGCAAGTGCTTCATCATCCTCTGATATAAATCTAGTGTCGTTGAGTGGTGAGCCTTCACACGCCTCAATGGACATATCCGAGTCAGATAATAACGACAGTATGTACTCACAGTCTGTTTGCTTAGCAGGAGCAAGTGCGTCCGTGGGCGCTTGCTGCGTTCCATCGTCAGCGGAGGCACTTTGTTTGTTGACAAAGATTACTGTGGGCTCGGTCACGGTGTCGTCAGAATCGCTGCCAGAAGGCATGATGTATGATACATCCATGTCAAGGTCCCTCCCAACCGATATTGGCGACGTATTTGATGATGAGGATTCCGATTGTGGTCCACTCATGGTCTTCTTCTAGGTTCCAGTTTACGTACTTGGTCGTCACTTTATTTTAATTATTGTTAATTTCCTTTTTTAATTTGTTTGTCCCTTTTTTAATTTTTATTTGCAGCACCACTTCAATAAAAAGTCACTTTTTATTTTGTTGAATTTAATTTATTTGCTTTTACTTTTCTTTGCATTTGCATTTGCTTTTTTTTTTTTTTTTCCTGTTTGGGCTGGTGCTTTCGCGGCGCGCACACCGAGCGAGGCTGAACAGGTCCGAGCTCTCGCACAGACGGCAGTGGAGTATGCGCCAGCCAATTGCCTGCCGTGAAGCGGCAGTTACAAATTTTCTCTTAGCATTTACTCTTAACACAATTCAACTTATTACTCAATCTAAGCAACTATTTTGAATTTGAATTGCTGCGTTTATCGCACTTTGCTATCAATGTTACTTGGCCCGATAACATATCGGATGCCGTAGTTGTTTTGTGTTACGTTATGCTAAATTAGTTTACAGATTTCTGGTATTTTTAGCATTTTTTTAGCGTACTGACTTATCCGACTATGGTCACACGCAGGCGCCATGCGGAAATGGGATACGAATACTCAAAAGACTGCAAGAACATTGAAAGACTTAGGAGATAACATACATTTGGTTTACATATATTAATAATTAATAATTAATTGGCTTTTTTCTTTTCTATCTTTTCAGGTGGTCGCTGGAATCCATGAGGGTCCAATKGGGATGAAGCATCGGGCTGGAGATCGTCGTCAAGTGGGGCGTAGGAGAGGAGGGAAGCGCAGCCAGTCCAGCTGCCTGACCCCCTCCCGTCTGCAGCGCCATCCAGTTGTTGCAGTAGTCGTGGGTGAGTACAGCGTATGCATTAGCTTGCATACGCTTACATACATTTGTACATATCAATTGTGTACATTGTGTGTATTGGATGTGAAAGAAATGAAAATATTTCATTAGTGGTGC